AAAAAAAAAAAAAAAAAAAAAAAAAAAAAAGTAGTATCCTGAATCTACCACCAGCCATTAAGTCTCTCGAAGACCAGTGGCCGTGGATGGTGTTTGCAGACCACCTGGTATGTCTGTAACCCGGAAACTAGACTCTTACCCTCAGGCTAAACCAGAACCTTAGGACATACACCTGGACTCTCTGAGTCATTATCACTGAGTGGCATTTCTTGCCTCTAAGGCTTTGGCCAACACTGAGAGACACTGTACAGAACAGTCCCATGAAGTCATGACTGCCTGATTGGTGATGATGTTGAGAGATGTCTAGAACTTTCTTTTAGACTTCAACACTAAGAGCCATACTTCTTCCAAGCAGTTGGTTTGTTTTTACCTTCTGGTTCGTTTGCATCACGTGATCAATCATTTCTTCTTCTCACCAGCTGCCTGGGAGGTCAGAGACTGCCTCTGTCACAACTCAGACTCCTGACAGAAAGTTTGGAGATTAACTTTGCCTGAAGTGTCACCTTTGTTCTTATCTTCATTTCATCTTCCTCCTGATACTCTTTTCTTCTCTGTTGTTGACCACCCTGTATCCTGCCTGTCCTTGCTGGCCACCTCATAGAGGGTCCGCAGTGCAGCTGAGGGGTGCCCAGAAAGAACAGAGCTGTCTCTTCCCAGAGACCTGCCTGACTTCCTTCAGCCAATAACTATCGAGTGCTTTTATGCCAGGCCCTGGGCTAGGCAGGGTGTGGAGACAAGGCCCTGCCTGCCTATACTTACAGCCTGCTTCTGCCCCAGTGCCAAGTCTAAGCCCATCTGGATTTTGATCTGACTCAGAGTCCCCTCTGATCCTGACGATCTGAGAGGAGAGAGAACGTACAGGAAGCCTCCCTTGAGGAGAGCAGAGGCCCTGGAGCGGAGCTTGTCACTCAGGGTGCGTGTGTGGCCCTCGGGGGCACGTCTCTCAGAGAGAGTGGACACAGCCCTCCCCTTCCTGCAGACACTGACCGTGAGGAGAGCCCTAAAGCAGAAGAGGAGACCTGTCGCCATTGGGATCCCAGGACAGGGGTTGACCTCTGTGCTGTTAGGACAGACATTTTCATATCCAGAAGCCCCACCTGCTCCCTCTGGCCTAGTGGTGGAGGCCCAGTCTGTAGAAGAAGCTTTGCAAGGCTGGGGATGGGGGACGTCATTAGCCACACACAGGAACCTCGTCACCACCCAGGGATTCCCCACATTCCACGTGGATGTCACCTTCTGGAAGTGACATGGGCCATGTACACAGTGCCTTGGCCACCAGTCTCCACAGCTGAGCCCAGTGAGGGAACTGGGAGGGCTTGAGATGCCACGTGCTTAGGGAGAAGTCGGCTCTGGCCCTCGTCACATCCCAAGAACTAAATAAGCACCACAGGCTATTTGCCTGCTGGCATTTGTGGCTGTATTAACTTTTTTAACTGGGAGGACACGTTCTGCTTTTGAAAGTGAGGGAGGAGTGCCTCTCCTCATATTTAACTGCAGTGAACAGTGGTGTTTCTTCTCCAAAAAGCTCTGCTCAATTCACAGAACTCACAAGGAGCATGGGTCGCCGTGCGCTTGCAGCGTTGGGCAGTGGCCTTGATAGCGCGTTTCTGCCACCAGCGGGACCCGGCCCAAACAGCCTTTTACATTTTGGCGCGACAGGCCCAGATCTGAAAAGTGACTCAACGTCACATACCAAGAAATGCTCGATCTTGATGCGTGTGACAACACCCATGTCCTTGCCACGTGTAGGGCAGTGCGTGTAATGATTGCTACTCTCTAGCTGCTTCTCCTGTGCCTTTTCCCGACAGCTATCAGATCATGCTGGACTGCTGGCACAAAGACCCCAAAGAAAGGCCAAGGTTTGCAGAGCTCGTGGAGAAACTGGGCGATCTGCTTCAAGCAAATGTACAGCAGGTAATTGATCCACATTGATCTAGAACCTTGGAAGGCCAGCCATCTTTGACTGTAAGTTAAGGGAGTGTTTTATCTGTTTGCTGTTGTCTTAAGCACTGTTAAAGAATAGCTGAGATCAGCAGTAAAGAGTATGTGTGTGTGTTTGTGTGTGTGTGTGTGTACATGTGCGCACGCATGTGCTATCTCAACACACAACCAAGATCGTGCGGTGGCATCACTGAAGCTGACGCCACGCTTCCCAAACATCATTGAAATTGACCCTCGTGCAACAAGACCTCTGTCTTTGGCGTTTCAGGATGGGAAAGACTACATCCCACTCAATGCCATCCTGACAGGAAACAGTGGCTTTGCATACTCAACTCCTGCCTTCTCTGAGGGCTTCTTCAAGGAAGGCATCTCAGCTCCAAAGTTCAGTTCAGGAAGCTCTGATGACGTCAGGTGAGATCTCTTACCCCAACCGTCTAAGACAGGATTTTTTAACATTCAAAAAAAAAAGAAAGAGTTGTGTCATGATCCCCCATGTGCCCACGGCCACACGTGATTATTAACATTTTGCCCTATTTTGTCTCTTACTCCATACATGTGTGTGTGTCTTTTTACTGAACTGTTTTAAGGAGGGTTTAGGCTTCTTTAACACTTCACCCCTAAACCCTTTGGTATACATCTTAGGAAGGACATTCTCCTGTGTAAACCACACCCAGATTTCTTTGATCACACCAAAGAAATTCCTTCAAATCATCTCATATTCAAATTCCGCCCCCCATATTTTTTATTCCTTCTTTAAAAAGCAGAATATAATTAAGAAGAACACATTACATGTTCTTAACTTTTTTTAGTCTGTCTTATTCTAGAGCTTTCCCCTATGATATTGACCTATTTTTTTGGGGGGGTGGTCAGGGTCTTACTCTGTCGCCCAGCCTGGAGTGCAGTGGCATGATCATGACAATCACAGCTCATTGCAGCCTTGACCTCCTGTACTCAGGCGATCTTTCCACCTCAGCCCCCCGAGTAGCTGGAACTACAGGCATGTTAAATTTTTTATTTTTTGTAGAGATGAGGTCTTGCTATGTTGCCCAGGCTGGGTCTCGAACTCCTGGGCTCAAGTAGTCCTCCTGCCTCGGCCTCTGAAAGTGCTGGGATTACAGCATGAGCCATTGCTCTGGGTTGGCATTGACTTTTTTGATGAAACTTTAGATAAAACTAATCAAACAAAACTAGCTTTTCCCCCCTCGCCGAACGAACGGATGTGTCTTACATTACCGCAGAAGAAATTCGAGAAGGGGCAAGGAAACAAATATGTGTTGAGGGCCTCTGCTGGTCAGGCATCTGCACCTCTGTATGACTGGTCACACATGTATTAAACATGTCCAGAACTCACGGTTACACAGACACGTGCTGTGTTCTGGCACTTTGCTAGGCTCTTGGCATATATCACCTCCTGTTATGCTCAGAACAAACCTATGAAGTATGTATTATTCCTGTTATTCAAACAAGGACACTGATGTTCCAAGGAGGAGAGCTTGTCAAAATCATGCAGCTAGTAAGTGTCAGACAGAATAGAGTTTCTCACCCAAGAGCTCCGACCTTCCCACCCTGCCCTCCAAGCCATCAGGACTCCTTTCGGGGCTCAGCCTGTCCCGTGGGCCTTGTGGCATCTCTGCTTGCAGCAGCCACGACCCTGGGGCTTTGAACTCAGTTCAGCCACTAGGGGAGGCGCAGGACAGACCTGCCGCAGTCGAGAAGGATGGCTAGCCACCCACAACCAGCTTCAAAGAAGCTCAGTGGGCCAATCGAGACTCGAGGTGATGGACTACAGGCTGGCACCACCGCCCAGGTCTCCCCAGCCCACAGGCTGGCGCAGAGGAGTCACTCATTTTCTAAAGCCGAGAAAACTCGTGTGGCTTAAATAAATGGGCCAGGTCTGATTGGGTTAGAGATGGGGTGGCAGGTCAGAGTCACGTGGGCCCGTCTAGTACGCCGCTCAGCCTCAGGCCTCATGGAGCTTGCCTAAGACATTAGGACTCAGAGAGGGCAACAGAGTCTCAGATGAGAAGCTCAGTCAGTAGGTGACCTTGCCTTGCGAGTGGCCACAGTGTGGCTGTCTCTGATGGTCTTTCCTAACAGAGCATCAAAGTCAGTAGGTGGTTATGGAGACCTCATACAGATATTCCCTGTCTCTCCCAATCTGTAAGCACAGAACTAAATCTGCAAGGCTGACCTTGGTGCTCGATGATGCCATGAAATCAGCTGTGTGACCTTGATAGGTCATGACTCATCAGCACACATCCTTTAAGGAAGAAGGCAGCCATCAGCGATACATAGAGTCACGTCTCTCCCCTGGGCCCCCTTCTGTCTACCACGGGGCGTTCAGACCAGAAGATGCCTCAGGTTTCTTGAGGTCTGACGTTTTCTTTCTTTCTTTTTCTTGAATATTTTATTGGAATTCTTTTGATTAAACCAGATATACTTGCATAAAACAAAGTAAATATAACAAGTTCTCTGTACTTGATATGTCCCCAAATTTCTAGACAATTTCCCCTCTCAGTAAGTTGACAGCTGCTCACACAGGCTAATAAAGCTGTAAGTTCCTAGGATCTGTCTAACACCAGATATAGGACATCCCTTTTGTCAGCAAATTCCTGAGATGTCATAAAAGGAACATGTGTTAGAACTTAGCCAAAAACATGAAGCTGGGTGGGGGCGGCAGACAGACAGGATGGAGCGGATCAGGTGGTTTCCAAGCGGTCTGGATGCTTTCTGATGCCACGAGGGACCAGAAAGGGTCCCGCTAGGATCTGCCTCAAAACTGTGGAATGTGGATTGTCAACCGTGGGAGGAAGTGGTATCATCGTCAGGATTCCAGGGGGCATGGCAGGAAGACACGAGCCTTAGGAGCTGTGTGACTCCCCCTGGTTTTTTGTTTCATGGTAACTGGGCTACAGGACCCATGGTTTCCACACTAATCAAAGCTGGATGCGTTTTCCCGCCTTGATTGTTCTTTTTGGTTCTTCGTAGATACGTAAATGCTTTCAAGTTCATAAGCCTGGAAAGAATCAAAACCTTTGAAGAACTTTTACCAAATGCCACCTCCACGCTGGATGTAAGTCATGGAGTTACGCTGTTCGGTGACCCAGAACCCTTCAACAGAATCTGTCCAAACTCCAGCTTCCATAGTCTGGCGGCTCTTGGTCAATGATGGACAGTCATCGGTGGTGGCTGAAATGAGTGTGTCGGGGACTGCCAACTAAACTTAGCTACACGGAGCTCATTTAAAAGTAGGATTCCATGAATTCACTGCAGGGTCCAAGACCTTGCACTATAGGAATGTATCCCTTGGGAAACACTCCTGTGTGTTTCTACGCTGCTTGACTGTCAGGGTGAATTTTTGCCTTCAAGTAGTAGAGGAACTCTGGCTGGGCCTTGTGAGCGGGCAGAGAGCATTCCAGCAACCTTGAGCCTGAGAGCAGTTGGCTTTCTCCCCCCACCCAAGGCCTCCCAGGCTGGGCAGCCATATTCCTCCCCATCCACACCAGGAGAAGCAGGCCAGGACAGCCTGGCACACAAGAGGCCTCGCGGCTCTGCTTTTTAGAGCCCTGGGGTGTGGGCTCGAGGGTGCAGGGGGTTGGAGGAAGGTCAGGCAGGAGTTGCAGTTTGGTGTTGCGGACCCTTGTGCTCAAAGTGGGGGCCCCAGATCAGTTTGTTCCCATGACCCAGGAGCAGGCTCGAAGCCCAAACTCTCAGGACTGGCCCACACTCGTGGGTCAGGCGGCGCCTTGCCACAAGGTTCAAGGGGATTCCTGAGCACATTAAAGTTCGAGACACGCTGGTGACAGCTGAGCTATGAATGACCTGGAAGACCAACCACAGTGTGAAGGCGCTCGCCGCTACCGGTGTGGCCTTGAGGCGAGCACGTCACCCTTCAGGACACCAAAACCCGGGCAGGCACGCCAGGGAGAGGGAAAAGATGACTACGTTTTAAACATTACAGAGAAGCTGCAGATGCCAAGGTCAAGTAGATGGAGATTCTGTTTTGTTGCTTGGTACATTCATTTCAAGGGCAAGGAAACAATACTGAGCAAAACAGACCTCTCTCGGCTGTCACCCTAACCCGCACGCGCACTGTAGTGAGTTGTGACAGCCTCTTTGTTTGCTCAGATGCTTACTAATAATTAAGGATGCGAACACAGCCAAGGGTGAGCCTCAAAGGGGCAGGAATCCACTTGCCAGAACGTGCTGTATGAGCAGAGTATGAAGAGTCTGCACCAACCTCAGCCCCACAGATGAACCAGCAAGGAAGTCTGATTGCTGAAAACCGTGACCCAGGGCCTGAAAACACCATAGAATCTTCCAGAAGAACCTTGAACCACGTCTCTAACTTCTCAGAATTTTCACCTGTCATGGCCACCAAATACCATTGCCTACTCATAGCCAAAACTAGTTTTAATGTATTTACGCATACACGTTTGCTATGGAAAATGCTGGCCTATTACTAGGTATCTGCCCTTTTGTTTAAATGTATTTGCTTCATTCTCAGGAGGAAGGGCCTCACTGGGAATAGGCATTTTTTGCATCTGACCAAATCTGTAGTTGCCAGTAGAGCAAGGGTGCTGTGTCTCAACAGGCAGGGATTGTAGAGGGTGAGGGCGGAACCCTAAGTGACCCCCAGGGTGTGTCCCAGTGTCATCCCCCCTCACTTGGCGCGGACTCCCAGGCCAGACAAGAGTGTTGTAACCTTCTCCTTCCTCCCTGCAGGACTACCAGGTGGATGGCAGCACCCTGCTGGGCTCCCCCTTGCTGAAGCGCTTCACCTGGACAGACAGCAAGCCCAAGGCCGTGCTAGAGTAAGGAAGCTGGCAGTGTCCACGGTCAGCTGGGAGGGCGTGGGGAAGACGGCGGGGGACAGTTTAGTGGGGGTGTCAGAGAGCCGCTTCCCTCCCGAACCAGCATCCCAGCATTGCCGGAAAGCATTTGCCCTCCAACGGGCAAGAAAGGGGGCCTACACTTGGACATAGGAGCACCTGGCTCTGGGAAGGAAGTCCAGGGTGCAAGGGGGAAAACATGCAGCAGCCGGACACGCATGGCACAGGTCAGATGTGCACGGCACAGGTCAGACCCCCGCGGGACACAGCTCAGACCAGCAAGGCACAGGTCAGATGTGTGTGGGACACAGGTCAGACCTGCAGGGCACAGATCAGACCCACGGGGCAAAGCTCAGACCTGCACGGCACAGGTCAGACCCACGGGGCACAGGTCAGACCCGCAGGGCACAGGTCAGACATGGAAGGGACACAGATCAGACACATGGGGCACAGGTCAGATACCTGTGGCAGAAGTCAGATGCATGCGGTGTGGGACACAGGTCAGACGTGTGGCACCGGCCAGACACGCGTGGCACCAGTCAGATGCGTGCAGCACTGGTCAGATCTGTGGGACTCAGGTCAGATGTGTGCAGCACAGGGTCTCAGTGGCCCCTGTGAGTGGGGCAGATGGAGACTTGCTTACAGGCAGGAGTGAACGCCCCATTTTTCCCTGGGGGACAGGGTTTGCCTGAGAGGAGGCAAGTACCACATTGTTTTTATGGCCTGAGACATCCTACCCTGAGAACCAGCCCACTCAAGTGGGGGAACTTCCTGCTTTCTCTCTGACCCTGGCGCTCTTCTCACTTGAAGATTCTCCACAAACCCCTGGGTTGGTCAGTAGTCAGCTCCTCCCTTCATGCTGTGGACACTCCTTCAGGCTTACTTAGGCTGTTGGTTTGGCCTTGTGGCCCTGAGTGTCGCTCTGGCTTCTCTGCACCCACCTCTACCTTGAAAGGGTACTGGGCTGGGGAATGCCAGACCTGTCAGATGCTCCTGAATTACCTGGCTTACATGTCTGCCCCTCCCACCCAAAGGCAGACCTTAACCCTAACCCCTTCCACTAAAATCAGAGGGCAGGGCTTTTTGGTCAGGTGTGGTGGCTCACACCTATAATCCCAGCACTTTGGAAGGCCAAGGTAAAAAAAATTGCCTGTGCCCAGGGGTTCGAGGCCAACCCAGGCAATTTGGTGAGACCTCATCTCTACAATAAATCAAAAAATTAGCTAGACATGGTGGCACGTGCCTGTGATTCCAGCTACTTTGAAGGTTGAGGCGGAAGGATCACCTGAGCCCAGCAGGTCAAGGCTGTGGTGGCTGTGAGTAGCGTGCCACTGCACTCCAGCCTGGGCGACAGAGCGAGACTTCTACTCAGGAAACAAAAAGACTTTTTCTCAAAGGGCCTCTCAGTCAGCAGCTGCTGACTCTGCCACTGTGGCGTAAAAGCAGCCATAAATAACACATCAGCAGGTAGGCATGACTGTGGTCCAGGAAACGGGGTGGCCAGGGAGCAAAGGAGACATCTTTGGTCATCAGGAAAATGCAAGTCCCAACACTCATGAGGGTTGCTGGAGTCAAAACTTCAGAGGGAGGACACATGGGAATCAGAGGCCTTATACATTGCTAGGGGAAGTGGGGAATGGTGCAGTCACCTTGCAGAATAGTCTAGCAGTCGCTCAGAAGGCTAAGCAGTTACCCGGTGACCCAGCAGTTCTCCCCCTAAATACTCAAGAAAAATGAAAACGTGTGTCCCCATAGAAACTTGTACATGAATGCTCACTAGCAGCATTATTCAAAACAGCCAGAAGTAGAAACAACCCCAGTGTCCCTTGGCTGATGAATAAATAACCTGTGGTATAGCCAGACACTAGAATGTTCTTTGTCAATAAAAAGCATGGAGTACTGATGCATGCTACGATGTGAACCTGAAAATACTCTGCCAAGTAAAAGAAGCCAGTCATGACAACATCAATATGATGTGAGTCCTTTTCCATGAAATGCCCAGGATTGACCAATCTAGAGAGACGAATAGATCTGTGACTCCCTAGGGCAGGGGATGGCGAGTGTGGGAACAGGAGAGACTGCTGCTGGCTTTGGGTTTGAGGGCATGGGGACTGTCGCACGGTGTGTGTATGCACTAAACACCATTAACACACACGCTGTTTTTCCCCCGTTTGAACTGGTCTAGGCTTATACACTTTCGGCAGGTGAAGTGTAAGTATGTCAGTTATGTCCTGATCAAGCTCTCGTTTTTTATTTTAGTTTTTTTATTTTTTATTTTTTTGTCGCCCAGACTGGAGTGCAGTGGCCGCTCCCGGCCACCGCAGCCTCAACCTGTTGGGC